GTTCCTGTGTTTTTGCGCTGGCATTGGTTGGAGCTGCACATTCTTACATTCCAGTTGATGTAGATCTGATATCACACTGCGTTCAAGTTGACGGAACCATGTACATTCGATATCTTGAATGTGCCGCAGGTTACAAATGCATGAACCTGATTAAGCCACGACCATGATCCCCGAAGCTGAAAAGCCCAGCGTCGCTGTGGGGACGGGCTCCGCAGTTGCAGTTGCACTAGCCTCGTCCTTGGACGGAGCGGGTGCACCGCCCTCACCCCTGTTGACCACGGCCAGGGGCTTCCCAGAGAGCAAGACGCTGATCCAGCCTTCGGGAGGTCCTGCGAAGTGTCTGACCACAACCAATCCCATGCTTTCTTGGTTGCCGGCAGAAAGCTGGTTGTGGTGGTATCTGGTGCGGCGTCTTCACTCCGAGCAGAAGCGTCAGCAGCGTCATCGACATCATCAGCCCCACATACTTACCATCATGCAAGGTCAAATGGCTGGATGCTGGATGACTTACGACGACTCATTCTGCGTGGAAGTACTGTAAAAAAAACAATCATGATTTCATCTCACTTGCCGTGCTCCGAGAAGTGGAAACACTCGGTGCACCCCATAAGCACACATCTAAGCAAAGGACCTAAAATCGAGGATTTCGACCGCCGGAGGGGGGTAATCGTAAGGACAAAACGCGCCAAATAAGCTTCGCTATCGGCTTCGTGAAAACCAACACGGGGGCCACCAATCTGGAGCTCAGGACAACTCCAACCACCAACAACAACAGGCCAAAACTTATCAACAGCCCCGAACATGAACCTCGCAGCCCACCAACCCGGAAGTAAAGGACCCGAGCCCGCACAACCAACCAGACTTTTTCTGGCACCAGGCAGCATGACCCAGCATGCAGTTCCAGCTCTGAGGCACCGCTTCTGCATGATTGGCAAGAAGGGGATGAAGTCCCTCTGGTATGGTTCCCAGTATATAACCCCTCAACACCTATGGTATGCCTTTGCCTAGCAGTTTTGACTAGGAGATCGCGCTAAAAAAGGATAGAAGGGCACGACTGGGGCCCAGAGCCTGCTGTCATTCAAATCCAGGCCTCTCGGCCGTGGGGCCATGATGCAGTGCCCAAGATTAGGCCCGCACGAGTGCGTGAGGCGGAAGAACCACGCGATTGCGTATATACACGTTGGAGTATGCCATCGGATGGTATCCTCCTCGGAAGGACGCCTCCCGAGACGTCAGGTACATTGGTTGTGCAGGGAACTGCGCTTGCATGTAGGGCATGTTCTGGCTCACAGGCTGGACGATGCGCATTTTCACTCGAGGTGCTGCCTGGTGGACCCGCTTGATGATCATGGCAGGATGTTGGACGGTGCCCGGGACTGCGATCGACGAGAAGTGATGAGCCCGGCTTTGCCACCGTCACCACCGACTTTGGGACCGTTCCGGTGTAGCCAGGAGTATGCCATCGGATGGTATCCTCCTCGGAAGGACGCCCCCCGAGACATCAGGTACATTGGTTGTGCAGGGAACTGCACTTGCATGTATTGCATGTTCTGGCTCACAGGCTGGACGATGCGCATCGTCACTCGAGGTGCTGCCTGATGGACCCGCTTGATGATCATGGCAGGATGCTGGACGGTGCCCGGGACTGCGATGCAACGACTGCGGTCGACGAGAAGTGATGAGCCCGGCTTTGCCACCGTCACCACCGACTTTGGGACCGTTCCGGTGTAGCCAGGATAGCCTGTAGAGGGGATTGCGCAGACGATTGTTGGTCTTCATACGGTCTTTATAGGGTTCGTGAGGGTGCGATTCCAGACTGAAGGTTTGCTTGACTGGGGTGATGTTGACTCAAAAACCGGCTGCCTACGGCACTGCGCTCAGACTCAGATGCTTCAAGCATTTTTTGCCTTACTTAGGGTTAGGGTGAGGCTTGCCGTGCAGCTGCAGGCTGGGTTGAGGTATTACAGTCTATAGAGTTTAGGACTATATAGGTTTGGGGCTCAGGATTTAGCGTTTCAAGATATTGGGCGAATTAAAACTTGGCGGAAGCCTGCAATGCTGCGAGTGGTTGCATAGTTCCGGGAGAACTCCTGTGCTGAGGATGTCTGAGCGTAACGCAAGCTCAAGGCTGCTGGCGCCACGGTCGTGGCCGATCTAGCTGGTGCTGCCTTGGGCATCTTCTCCGAAACGGGGTCTGCAGCCACATCGGGCTTTGGAGCTAACCAACATCGCCGTTGGTGTTCCTCGTTTGCCGGAAGCCAGAGGAGGTCTTCCTTGCCGCCGACGTAGAATTCTGGACACAAGTCCAGAACCATGAATAACGATTTTTTTGCAGGCTCCTGGAGTCTGAACGTTCAACACAACACCGTGAAGCTAGAAGCCCTTCTGCACTGACGATCCTGAGAAAACAGCTGCGTTTACATATATACCCCCATTAGTCTGCAGAAGTTGCGCTGCCGACCTGTTGGCTCTAGATTTTGAGCCAACTTGCGGACGGGACACTCATGAACATGATTTCGGCGAATGAGTCCACAAACTCCATCTTCCGGTGTGTGCGCTAGCCCGCCTGCTTGGTCCGAACTATTCTACATGCCAAAAGTGTCAGCCATTGTTCTTTGCTCCTTTTCCTCCTGCCTGTGTGCTTAGACCATGCATTGCCGCGTCCGTCGGAAATCTCGTTTCGTTGGACATTGAGCATTGAATAGAAGGGGTCTTCTGGGCTGCAGACAGTGTGAAGCATCTAAAAGGTTCCGGGGCTGATTTTTCCAAAACTCCGAGTCCTGCGCCGGCAAGAAGCTTGTATTGCAAGCGGTCGCCTTGCACAGGAAGGCTTCGACAGGCCAAAGGCTTCAATTCAAAGATACCCTGAGGATGCTGTTTGGATGATGGCCCTGGATAGAGGCCCGTCTTCCGCTGCTGCTGATGGTGAAATATCTCTGGTAATAAGCTGTAGTAGGCTTCGAAAAGACTATACAATGCAGCATGCCGCATCTTTGTCTGAAAGCTGTTCCCGGCACCCCTCCCCATTGCCATTCCTGTGGGCCGAGCAAGCATCGCAGTAGCCTGACCTCACACCCTGAGAGAAGTGCGATGTGGATGATAGCGTCGTGTGAGAGAGAACGGCGGAACGAAGATAGAACTGCAACTGCATCCCGCCATGCAAACAAGGTAGAGCTGCGACAGAAGGGGCATGTGACACGTGCCACAGGCTGAGCTAAATCGCAACAACCTGCTTGTGCCTTCAGCAGGACATGGACCTGATAACTTCAGAAATAACATGCCCTGCCATGCTTTCGCACCACAACCAAAAGCTGCGGCGCCTTTCACGGTCACTTGCTCCACCAGGGAACCCGTCGACAAACCTTCGCTGCTTCAGAACGGAGGTTCAGCTTCGGGGTGCAGGGAGGGCCAACATCAAGCTGGTGCTGTCTGTAGGTGGGAAGGTCCTGACAGGGCTTTCATGTGCATGGTCCGGAAAACCAGCTCGACAAGCGCCTCGCAAAAGGATTCGCCTCCCGCCCCCCGAGTGTGAGAGTTGAAAGTCTTTGCCCCTGCAGTATGACGTAGATGTGACACATCAAGGTCGACATGTGTCGCGCGGATAGTGGCAAAGATGCCCGCGCCTCTGACTGTCGATATTTGTCAATCATGAAGAAAGATGGAAGGGTTCAAGAACACGACAGCTTCAATGCGCTCCAACCCCGTCACGGTTGACATCTTCGAGATGAAGATGGCCGATCTTCCAACAGTATTATGTGGCTTGGCATGAGTATGGCGGCACCGGGGCACTGGATGTGCGGGTGCTAGAACGATACCTCTTGGGAGGCTTCAGGTTTGCGGGTCGAATGCCCTCGACAGAAAAGCAATCTCAAATCACCAGGACGCGGGCAGGACGAACCACACTCCGGGTCGCAGGAGCCAGGGCCAGGTAGAGAGGCCTACCATGAAAGGTGGCAGCCCAGGAAAGCCCCGCCATTAGTTAGAATAAGGAACCCCCAAAATAGTGTGTGTGTGTATATATATATATATATATACACATACGTAATTAGTTAGGCCAAGTCTTGAATAAGTCAAGCGACGATCTCCCAGCTGCGCGGACTTGGTGCTCTCACCGTCCCGAACGATGATACCACCTGCCGGACCAATGCAGCCGTGAGACAAGGCAAAGCCCCAAGGCCCGAAGAAGTTTCTGAAGTCTGATTTGTCTGTTTCTGTGCGCTACCTGTGGTATACATTGCGTAGGTTAACCACTCCCATGCAAACCTGTGCTAGACAGACTGGCATTGAACCTTCTGCCTGCGACGCTCGCCTAACCACTGACGCATCTTTTGCATAGCATGGACCACGCTACCTGCGTGCGAGAACCGTACGACATCCCGCAGTACTCGTTTCCAGTCCGACTGCGCCTTTGTCACCTCCACCGACAATCTCCCAAATCACCGGGCTCGGCATTGCAATGGAAGAATACTGGAAGAGTTTTGGCTGACCGTGTTTGCGCGTCTTGCGGCCAGGGCTGGGACTCAAGCTGCTCAGTGTGGGCCGTTTCTCGTCTACGAGAAGAGGATCACCTTTCGGTCACAGCAGCACAGTCTTCAACTCAACCCGCGTCAGATCCATGACTTTGTTGAGGTGCATGTTGTGCTTATGGGAACTATGTCGGTTTGTGTCCGGTCTATGTACCAGCCGGAGGCTCATAACAACTGCCGCTCAAACGAAGCAAATGCTGCGGAGAGAAGCATCGTCATGAACCAGGAGGGGGGGGGCTGAAGGCCTCCAAGGCAAAGCTGCGTGCAACCCGAAGGCTCCTAAACAGGCATCAGACCAATCAAAGGTGGCTCGAGTTCGTCTGACAGCTCGGAAAGCCTTCCCGTCCTCTAACCGCTACAGTATCCTACCGCATGTCTTCTCTCCGGCTCGAACTCCTTCAGCCCGGTTGCCGTCTGCCGTCTGGGAAGCGGCAACCTTAAACGCGAAACCCGAAGCCCTAGCCAGCTCCCTGCCTCAGCATGGGGCAAGGGTCCTCGACCTGACTTGCCGACTTTCGTGATCCGATGGTGAGGTGTAGCGTTTGGTAAGGATCACCATGTCTACCAGACTCTCAGCGTGTTCAACCCGCTGAAGAAGAACAAATCTGCGAATGTCAAACCACAGAGTATACTGATGCCATGCTCAATAGCCACCCACCAAGCGTCTCAAATCATCTCACCACAGCCTCTCTCCCAGCTGCTTCAAGGGCCACTGGCAGCTGAGAACCCGGCAAGGTCATCTCCCTCGGTAGCGGAGAATACGCAAACCGGTAAGTTGAGTGAAAGGTGTTTCTCCTTCGAAAATCTGCCGGGATCCTTCGCTTAGACATATCGTGCCCATTTTTCTCTTTGCGCCTCGAGCGGATTTGCAGAAACTGCCCCATCCCCACGCACGAAGTCGAAGACAAGTAACCATCCGCCGTCCTAGAGTCGCCCACTGAATCTCTCAAAAACCTAAACCCGGGAGCATGAACCCTAAACCCTAAACCCTTGGTATCGAACATACTTCTGAAACCCTAAAGTTCTGAGATCCCACCCCACTCCGCTCGCTCAAGCACAGCCGGAGAGCAGCCAGGTTGGAAAGCAGTAGGCTTCCCGATGTACTGGGTGGCAGTGCCGGGGTGCTCATATCGTACCTGGGAAGACTCCATGGTTTCGTCTGCCTTTCTCACAAGACAAGCTCAGCATTCTCAACAAAAGAAAGACGCGACTGTTGCGGACCTGTGCGATTACGGTCTATGCAAAACTGAGCCTAACCGTGTAAACAAAGGTCACTGTTTGGAAATTCCGAAGCCACAGCTTCTATTAATCCTAAACAGCGCAGAACCCAAGAACTCGACAAACGTCCTGCAATTGCCGCGCTCACAGCAAGCAGCGCAAACTGCGAAAACTCAGGACGGATATATTCGTGCGTATTCGCAAGATAGACATGCAGCATGGCCGGAGCAAGGAGAGAGTGCGAATTTGACGGCAACATGAAATTCTGCAAACAGGAAAGAGAACGACCTGGGGTCCGCCAAGTTGGACACGTCCTAGCGACAACCGGGGAAGGTGTGAGATTGCAATGATGAAGATCCAGTTTCTCGGACTTTTGATTCAGTTGAGGTAGGAAGCGAGGAATTCAGCCTTGAGGATTTATTCCCAGCGAGATGCCACTGCGCTCCGGGCGCTGGCCGAGCAACTGCAGCCTGCAGACTTGCACCACTTCCCAGACTCTCACGTTTGCCCTCATGCTCCAAAGGACCCAATAATTAGGTACTCGGGCTTAGGCCGGGATAGTAGTTATGTAGGTTAGTATTTGGTAGAGTCTATGATTATGAGGTACTTGGACGTTTGGGATCAGGCAGCGAGGTGGCCTTGAACTATGGTTGTACTACGGGAACTGCTGTACTGGCCTCGCGGCCTCATCCATGAAATCTTCTGCAGCTCAAAATTTCCAAGAGACCAAGTCGCAACTTCCTGCCAACGTTCAAAACATCCAACGAGGAACAAGCCCGCCAGGAGAAGAAGAAACAGACATTCTCACGACAAGAACGCCTACTCAACCCATATTGACACTCCGATCACGTCACGATTCAGTTCAAGCGTCACACCGGGTGGGGAAGCCATGAAGACTGCATAAATGGTTCTGCTTTGAGGTTCGCGTTAAATCTCAAGAAAAGCTGGAGAGCATGCACTACTGTTGTCACTAATTACTATTGCACCAAAGATTTGGCCCTGAACCTGCCCAGCGACTTTGGAATCTTTACGTGTTCGGCCGTTGCTGAAACCTACCTGGCGCTGGTGCTCGAGACGTTGAGCGAGGTCGGTGCCTCAGTGCCCGCGAGATCTTCCTTGACTGGCATGCCAGGCCTTGGGATGCCTCCAGGGTCTCAGCTCGGGGGCCAGCCTCTTCGTCTAGCTGAGTCTAGCTCTCGAGTGACATTGAAATTAAAGTAGCTTCAACTTGCAAGGTGCCCGACTGAGTATTACAGCAGCCCGATGCTGCTAAATGTCAAGCTTAGGGTCTGCATCAGCAGCCTCGCCGCGTGATTTGCCGAAGCAACTCTAACTGTCCTGCAGAAAGACATCCAGGTGAGAGCCAAAGAGCCCTGTCTGGCCCCCCAAAACAATCAGAAGCCATCGACCTGAACTTCTCAAATTATGATACAGCGCAGCAGGCCCCCAGCTCTAGAACAGAAATATACTCAATCTTGGCCTAGGCGCACGCTCCCTGCACAGCTTCTAGCAGCCTGCAAACCTTCAGGGGGCAATGGCTGGCGCGGCAAGTTCGCGTTTGCTGAGATAGCGAACACTCACGTGCACACACACACACACATGCAAAACAAAAAAGAAAGCAACCAATGACTACGAGAAACAGACTGAACAGCTCTTCACACAGCTGCAGCGACAAAAGAATTCTGAAAAGTCGGGGCTCCCCTTTTATGCCTTGAGAGATCTACCACTCCAAAACCTTCAGTGCTATGTCCCGGCCTCTGCTTCGTAAGGCTCTCGCCTGGATTCCTCGGAGCTGGTGCAGCTGGAGTTCGGTCATTTTAATGGCTGTCGGCATGCGTTCTGTAGCCTGTTGTCGACACCACTGCCCATTCGCGCTCTGTCTGAATCAAGAACTACAGCCGAATCATGACTGCAGCGCGGATGCTTTACGGTTGAGAGGACCGAAAACTGAGCGCACAAATTGAATAAACACCATATCGGGGCGCAGTCGGCTGTTGCTGGAAATCAGGCGCACCTGCCGCAGTCTCAGGTGTCTGGTGTCAGGGTGTCCATGTAGCCGCAATGGAACAGCGAAAGCATGCTGCAGGCAATGGTAGAGGGGTCAAGGCGTGGCTTTTACGGAAATCCAATCTCTCAGGCAATCCCCGGGCAGAATCGAGACACTTCCGACCACTGCAACACACCCTTAACATGTCGTGTGCAGAACCTTTGCCCACCGCTTCTGTCCAGTGGCCTTGCAGGGCTCCACCTGCAGAGAACTGGGCCTCGGCTAGCCTTGGTTTTCGTGTCTCGGACAGGGCAGGGTCAGGCGAGGTTCCGGTCCACGCCACAAACCGCACACCCGGCTATGAGCGCGTTGCAATGCTGGCTTGTCCATTTCTTACGTCATGATACTGCTCCTCGTCTGCCAGATACGCGTAGTTGTCGACACAATTCGAGGCTCAACCAAGCTATGGAAATCATGCTGCAAGTAGGCATGGGTGCATGCATGCATGAATTCCGTTTACGCATGACTCTCCTGCATGACACAACAGGGGCAAAGCGGAGACCCTTGGCAAAGCTCACAACAGTGCACATGCCCGAACCGTACTCCTCCTAACCCATCCGATTACCAGAGCATCCATGCCCCAACCGTAATAAGGTCCACTCCGACCCTATCCGATTAAGAAATGATCCGGCAAGCCAACGATACTATAGAAGATATGGCGTTCAAGCCCTCGGACTAGACCGCAGCCGTGGCCATGCAGCGGGCTGGCTTGAGGCTTGTTAAGGGTTTTGACTTTAGGGTTCAGCCGAAAGATGCCGAAGTGCGAGGGAACCACCGTCGCTGCAGTTTCCAGAGTTGCGAAGCCAGGGCGCTGAAGCTCCTTCCAGGTCTGAGAGTTCGAGAGCACAATTCCCATGCTGCTCTTGCGCATGTCTCCGGAATTGACATCGTCGAGATGCAGCACAGCTGGACTTTCAAACGACAGCGGTCTCGCTAGTTACGACTTGGCGCAGCTTGACACCCCGACCGTCTCGCTGGCGAAAACCCATGGATGCAAGGCAAGGACTAAGGATCACTTCGAAAACCTGCCGTGCAGACATGCGCTCCTGTGGCTGTGGAGGTGAGGCCAGGACTGGAAATTCCTCCTTCGCGAAGGTCAAAGGCCCAAAGCTGTAAGTGGCAGCGCAGCGGCCCTTTGTCTGGAAGGACGGGCTGGGAATCTCGCCAGCCCCTGGGCTGGGAGCCTTTGGAGACTTCCTGGCTTCCGCTTGGCGCGGAGGCGAGGCCACCGGCAGAGTGAAAACGGGAGAAGCTGCGGAGGCACTGGCGCTCTGAAGCTGGATCACATCTTCAAGGACGCGACGGGGCTCAACGCCATTCCCAGAGCCTCGCACAGGCACCACACTGCACCTATACTTCCACAGAATCGTCGCAACACCTAGAGTACATACTTTTACATACTTTGCCTTCGCATGATGTAGCAATCATCATGATATAGAGTTGCACACAAACATGTAGCTCCAAAACTAGTCCTGGCCTGGTGTCATTGTGGAGGGCACCGAACAGCCATCGTCCATTTTGATGTGTGACGAGAGCCTCACCTGCAGATAGTGCAATAAAACCGGACTGGGGCGGATGCTGCAACAGTTTCTCTGCTCAGAACCGAAACACACCCCCTTTTAAGCACGGGCTTGCAGTGTATGCCGGCAGCGAAGCTCTGGGGCTAAACCGGCTGCACAGCCGATCACGGCGCAGGATGGCGCAGGTAAAGCGTGCAATCCTCGTGCCTTCGTCGGGGCGTCTGCCAGGAGTCCAAACACTGCAGCGTCTTTGACTGCAGCACCTGCGGCATGCAGTCTTTACATGGGCATGCAAGACCCCGTGCCAAACTCTCTGCGGTTACCAATGCCGGCATTAACCAGGACTAGGTGCAACACTCCAAAACCTCGCCGCAGACCACGAGAAACCAAGCGGTAAAGGGCCAGATGAAGCTTGGGGCTTTTGCCAGCAAGGGCACAGGCACCAGCCAGTTCGACCGGCGCTTGCAGATGGAAGCTTTTCATGTCTGGGCTCCTGGGCCGGCAACATGGGCAGCACGATCCGATTCGCCCTTCTACGGTCACGTCTTCATGGTCTCTCTGCTGCAAGTCCATGTGGAGTATCGTGTACTGTGTCATCGACAGTCAAGCTTCGCAGCGAAGTTGCAGGCACCGTTGACAACATCCGCTCTTGCCTGACACAAAAAGGGTTCCTTTGGACTGTGGAAGTTGCCTGGCGAAGATCGGGCAAGCATCTAGATGAACTCTGCGAGAGTAGAACCCATGGCTCAGCTGCAGTAAACCGCGCAGCAGGGTCAGAAACAAAGAGTGAAACCTGGTGGCTGGCCGCCTCGGCCTTCGTCGTGACCACAGACGAGCCTAGATTCAGAACGATTGATTCTGGCTTTGCAGCTTTGTGGCTCTTGAGATCAATACTGGGAGCCAAGACCACAAAACATGTTTGCGTACCAAGGCCAGCACTGAGCTTGGTCGACAGTCACATGCATGCACCAGCGTATTTCTTATACGGATGGCACAGCAACAAATTGCCAGCACAGGGTCTGCTCCCGTGGAGTTGCGACGCTCGCTGCGTCTCCTGCAACTTGCTGCAGAGAGACCGAAGTCGTAACAAGACGAGAAAAGCCTTAAAGCAGCAGCAGCAGCAACACCACCACCACCACCACCACCACCACCACCACCACCACCACCACCACCACCACCACCACCACCACCACCACCAGCGAAAGCAACATCACAGTGCAGCAGCAGCTCTGCATGGTACATCATGGCACCACAGAGCCATTCGTAACGGGGAGGCCCTCTGGACTTGGGCGTGTTCTGCATTGTTCTGCTGTAGAAAGCTCTCTTGGTGCGGCCGTGCTCGTTTGACAGTTTTTCGCAAGGGACAGCCTATCCAGCCATTTCACAATCACCCTCATCATTCCACACGCTCGCCCAGTCGGGGTGATAAAAGACAACTGGGTCCCTAAACCGGCGGAACACCCGCATGCTCGACCCGATCCCAGTATATACAGGGCACGGCCATCTCCATGAATTAAGTAACGGCCTGCATCCATGGCCGCACTACAAAGAGCTGGACTATGTGCACGCTGCATGTTTCGGATGCCGGGCCTGTTGCGCCAACTGGAAACCTTGTGTGCTGACACGGAAGGGTGGGTCGGGCGAAGGAGGGGAAGAGAATAGGATCTAAGGCATGGAGCTCTCCAGACAACGCAGAACCGGTGTTGCGGCTGGTGCTGCTTGATGCAATACCGCAGCGATATAATCTTGCTGGAATCTACGACGGCTCTGTGCCGTCCTGGGTAAGAACGTCCAACAGAGAGGAGTGTTAACCTCTCGGTCCCAAACTCAGGCTTTGAGGGAGTACCATAGATACCATAGGGTACCTAAACTCTAAACTCTTTCGAAATCTTCACCGAGCCCGGTACTGAGGAGCCGCTCCAGGAAGAGATGCAGAAACTCGCTTGCCCGTTCCTTCGCCAGCCGCGCCTGTTTGCCAGATTAACTGCAACTAAACGGCTCTCAGACTCGGGACATCGCGCGCTTGTCGTATCAGACTTCCAGGGTTTCTACTATGCAGGATACACTTAGACGCAAGATTCTGTACTGCCGGACCGTTCGGTAGAATCCACACGCAGATGATGCAGAGTGCAATGCGTTCTTGGTCCCGCTCCAACAGACTCTGACAAAGACAAAAGAAGATCTGCATGTTCAAGCTTTACACCAAAGCATCGCCGCGTGGGCACTCCTCACGGCCCTACGGCTGTTCTGTGTTCTGTAGGGCAAAAGAAGAGATCGGAGCGCCTGTCGAGAACCGACGGGCGAGGCGAAGCATGATTTTGCCATGTCCCTGCAGAGGACTAGCCCGGCCACCAGACCTGTCCAGCTGCTGCCAGGTCACCGCAGGATCAGTCGTCATCTCTCGCAGCATCCTCAGTGCTGTGAAATGTGTCTGAAATTTCGTAGCCTGTGATCCCGTCAGATCTTGTCTTACAATGCTGCGTAACACCTGCTTTCAGCCTCGGCACACCTGGTTAAAGTGACAGCCCGCTGGTGCAGCGAGATGAGACAGGAGAGTCTAGACTAGATTAGTGACTAGACCTTGTGAGCCCTGGTACTGGTAGACCGGGTAAGCTTCATGTGAGCAGTCCCCAATACAAACACCGCGCTGGGTAGCAGAATAGCAAATCTACATACCCTTGCCACAACGTCTACATGCATGCATGCATACATGCATGCATGTACATACATACATACATACATACGAAGACACATACACATACACTCAGACTCACATACACATACAGACACATGCACATCCACATGTACATATACATATATAAACATGTACAGGTACATGTACATATACATGCCAATACACATATATGTATACAAATGATTACATGTACATATAAAAGACATGCACATGCACAAACAGGTGTTATAGTGTTATAGGCACATGTATATAGTGTATATATATATATATATGTATGCATGTATGTACGTATCCAACTGCATGTATGCTCAGTGAGACAATTAATCTGCTTTCACATGATCATGGGACTCGGGAGTGAAAATAGACAAGCCCACACACTGCGCAAGAAAACCAGCTCAAAACCTTTGTGAGCCGCCATGGAACTGGTACCACACGGCTGGGTGGCACAAAGGAGGCGGAAGACCCAGTGAGTCAAAGCACAGTCTCATGAATCGCTGGACCTCCCGAAGATGGCATAGGTTCTCCGCACTCAAAAGCACATTTGCAGACGGGGACACTCGCACCAGGAAGTAAACGCAGGCAGCAAGTCACGCGGGTTCCCAGAATCTTCCAGAAAGGAAGTGCGCACCTCGCCGGTCCGCCAACCCAAAGAGCCAGCGCTGGAGCAGCTGGCTTGTGCGAAGCAAGACTCCACCTGTTCAACAAAGCTCGAGAAAACGCACAAGGAAAAACGTGCCCCTGCTTGGTCTTGGACAACCTATATCGGCTCTATAGGCGGTGGCACATGTTGGCTCCCAGCGGGCTCAGGTTGTACAAGCAAGTTGAGGCTTCACTGTAGCCACATTCGACAAACCATGCTCCTGGCTCCTGGCCCCTGGTAATCTAACGCTCTCCCGACAGAATCCCGCTAGTCACCTCGGCAGCGTTTGGCTGGCGCAGGGTTGCCTGCAGAGCCGGGCAGTAGGCGGCAAAGGCCTGCGAAGTGGAGGACCGAATTTATGACGCTGTGATCAGACTTGAGACGCAGGTTCTTCCCACGCTCAGGGTTTTGAAGGATTGTGGCATGGGAGTTTTCGGTGGCTCTACGAGTTTACCGCCAGCTTGATGTCGACTAGCATCTGCAGACCGGTGTATGCTTTGCCCGCTTTCTCAAGATCTGGGTGCTCAAGGAATACCATCCGTGCCCTGCTAAGCCACTGCACCCTGAACTTCGAACAGCGATCGGCAAGCCCCTCAGCCCAATTCTAACTCCATCCTGGACTCTTCTCATAGTGACTCTCGCTGGTCTGAAGCCGACATGCGCAAGCAGACACCGACAAGCTGAGTACCACAGCCTGCTGCCAAGTCTGCGAGGGCTGACCCTGCGGTCCATTTTTGGACCTGGGTTTGCAGAGATGCACATGATTCCACATGTAGGATGTAAGAGATTTCGCTGATTCCACTCCAAAGTCCAAAGTGTGCCTACGGTCCCAGGTGAAGCTGGAGCCTCAAGCAAGCTCTTGCCTAGTGGCACAGGAACGCTCGGCCCACCAGGTGCCAGGGGCACCAGGATACGGTCGCCCAATGCCTTGGACTGTGGAGTGTTGTGGCTGGGGGTTTGGGTAAGCAACAAGGCAGGCAGAGCAAACGCCAAGCGGGGGGTGCATCAATCGAGTCGAAATTTTGACATAATGCAGAAGCCGTGGCCTTGTGCTACGACTGCTCTTTGTTTGCACGGAAAGTCCTAGGGGTGGACAAGGGAATGGAATGTTCGAGCTGTGTTGTTGTGTTGCCGACATCTTTGCAGTCTTGTTCAGCAGCCGCGCTGTGGGTTGTGTCGAGGCAAGCCCGCGAAATTGGATCGTGTTTGCGGTCGTCACGCGAAGGTGTTGTTTTACGCTCACACTCGGCATGACCAGGCGAGGTCTGTAGAGAGACTCAGGTTCGAAATTAGAAAGCCGTACACAGCGTAGAGTAACTTACATGCCGCGGATTGGAATAGACACGCTCGACGGCATTCCGTTGCCAATGGGCAGATTGAGTAAACACAACCGCATGTGAAGACGGTCCAAGCGGAGCTCATCACACACACACACGCTTACTCTTAGGACTTAGGCATCCATCGCGCAGCCACTCATCTTTTGCTTGATGCATCATGAAAGCATGAAGCTTTCAGGGGTTCTGGTACCTGTCTTAAGTAGAACACTGCACGCTCTGCGCAGACAAGGAGAATAAACTGGACGAGCTCAACTTGGCTGTTTACCTTGTAATCACTACCGAACAAATTTCGATATAGAAGCCACTTTTCGAGCTCTAGAGCCTGCGTCGTGCCACGACTCGAGTTTTTGTCACTTCGCAACCCCGAAATCGACGACGACATTCGCACCGCCTTCCACCACCACAACCACAACCACAGTCGCAGCGACAGCGACTAGACGCAGGTTTCAGACGGAAACAACTCCCTCTCAACCTGTTGACTTTGAAACTGCCCAAGCCCGCATGTGAGTCCGCGGCGAGCTCAAGAAGCATAGAGCTAATGTGCTTTGCACACCGGCCGCAAGCGCCTTTGAAGATCTCAGGATGGGTGCGCCAAAGCGACAGGAGGACGACTTAGCGCTTTGGGTCTAGCCTGTGGGCTCAGTGTGGAATCCGTCGCACAGGAATCAGCACAAATCTCCTCTTCAACTAGGGATGTCTGTCACGTTGCATAGCTGGTGATCCTCAGTTGCGCAGTTCATTTGGCCCAGGCCGCAAGCCATTCCTAGTGCCCCTGCGGCATGAATCGGCATGACCTCAACCCCATGTGCCACAATGACACTGGATCCAAGCCCCAACACATCTCGTCATCTCGGGTATCTGCTCGTACCCGAACCGGAACCCCCCACCCTGATGGCTAAAGCATGCCAGAGCCATAGGGGCTTTCCAGTCGCAGAAGCATGCGGTCTAACGTTGAAGCGCAAGCAAGCATGACCGCTACAACTCCCAGAATGGTAATCCTTAAGGCCGGAAGAGCTCGCAAGCGCCGGCACTCCGGGGGACGCTGAACAAAAAACTGAGGACCCTGGCCCAGGTCGCTTTCCCAGTCGCCTGGCAGCCCAGGGTTCCTTGCAGCCGTGGCCGCTCCAGGTGGGGCTCACGGCTGAAGCTGACAAATATGGGGGCCTCAACTAGCTTGGGAGTTTCTTTGTTGCAATTATCTTGTAGGGATCACCCTTCTAGAAGTCTGGTGAGCAGGTGCCGACGGGGTCCATCATGCAAGTGATGGAAGTCTCAGGAGGCATGCTGGCAAGGAGATAGACGGGCAGGCAATTTTCTGTGGTCGGCCCTTTGTGAAGACAGGGGGATGCGGCCTTCAGGACACCCTGCAACTTAGCCTTCGAAGCCCAGACTCAAACAGGAGGGTCCAAACGCTCAAGTACGGCAACGCCAAACCCCCAGCCGAGGAGCTCCATTTCGAAATCTCTGATCAGGATGCTCAGGGTGGGATTCTTCAGGGGCGGTGGCGGTACACCTGCCTCAGTGGTTGGTCGAAGCTTAAGGCTTTAAGGCCTAAGGGGTGCGCAGCCGTAGGACTAGTGTGACATTCAGTGACTAGTCACTGAATGTCACACTGAAGTGTCGAGACTCGAGCACAGGCGAACGACAAGTCCGAGGGCTCAGCTGCTGCCGGCTCCCCATTGCCTGCACCAGGCTTCTAGGCCAGGCACGTCGCCCAAGATGCAGTTGACGCCCTGGACGACATGGGGCCAAACCTCGCGAAAGAGTGTGATCGGGGCTTTTGATGCATCGAAAATCAGCTGGATAGCACAGCCCCTTTCGGCACCGGGGAAGCGATGCAGCCAGTCAACACCACAGCAACCACATCTGAGCATCCCTGTCAGTGGTTGGCAGTTCTAAAGCGCGGCATGCAAGCTTGTGGTGGAACCCTGGAGGACCACCTGTGCCCGGCTGGCTGCTGACTCCGGATGGATTGGCCTGAGTCGAATAGGCAAGATTGGGCAAGTCTCCCGATGAGAAGCGACGGTGCATCCAGCACGCGGCAGTCAAAACGACGCGCGGTTCATCGGAGGGTGCGCGCGAACACGTTAGAGCGTGGGCGGCGACTGCATTTTCGTGAGTTGATCGGAAAGCAACACACGGCAATATCGATAACGAATCTTGCAGATCTCGGTTGGAATTAGAAGCTGTACACAAATTGCCACAAGTCACTAGCAGTCTGTTTGGATTCGATTTCTGATTGCTGGCACATTGACATGTAAAAGTAGCTTTTGAGCCTTGACATCTACAACGCACTGTGAGATTCATAACAAGTTCGAGGTGGCAGGTGGGAGGTGCTGTGCTGTAGTCAAGCTACGCAGCTACTTCACACTTAACACTTCGCAGCGACTGGACCGTGAAGCACATGTGGCTTGAAGGGCCTCTGCGCAATGACGAGCAGTTTATCAATTTGGCTAGACGAGAAGGGTTGTGAAAACTTGATCTGCTCGTGCACCCGTAGCAACATTGAAGTGTAATGTTAAACTGTTAAACCATCTGAAATTCCGGAACTTGCCAAGGGCTGGGCGGCTGTGGAATCGCATACGATGCCTGGTACGTCCGCACGACCTGCGGCTTTGGCAAGAAACTTGGCGAAGGGCATCGTCGAAGGCTGATACTTTGGGGCCCAGTATACTAGAATTATATGAGGAACCCCCCAAAATAGTATTAAGGTTATGAAGGTCCCTATACTACAAGGTGAATCCAGGAGATGCTCCAGAGGAGCCCACAGAGCCGGATGTGACTGGTCCGACTGCAGGCTGACCGGCCTGCCTCTTGCAAAAGCATGTTTTTCAACGTTAAAAAACCAATGTTTTTTAACGTTAAAAACATGTAAGCATCCGATCAAGACATCCAAGCGCTTCCACCCAGAATCGGCAATTTCTGTCAGGCGGAAGTATTCCGCAAAGTGAAAATCAGCACTACGGGCCCTAGGGGCGGTCCAGGACAAGTCTAGCCTCCGAGCACCGCGGAAGCTCATCAACATACCCCAACGAACATGGCGAAAACGTTGGACCCAGGATCCCACTAGGCCAAGCAGGTTTTCCCGGCGCAAGCCAACATGCAGTTCCGGCGGGCTCGCAGACGCAGCTTCTGCGCAAATGCCAAAGGGACACAGTAGGTGTGGTATGGTTCCCCAATGTTCCCCAGCAGCACCTTCAGAATCAGGGCACCGTTTCGTCTCACATCTCAGTCTTGAAGAGGAGACACCAAAAAGGAACGGCACTCCTTGGAATCCAGTGAATCAGATCCATGATTCGGTCATGGAGGGAGCGAGAGAGAAATCCAACAAAAGATCCAAGCAATAGGCCGCAGGGGTCACCATTCAACAGTGATCCCTAAACCCCCTACCTAAAAGCCGTTTAAAACTTTATGTTTTCGAACCCCGTACCGTTTCTGAAACCCCGAAAGCCCGAGGCCCCGTGCTTTCAACATGAGCATCTCGATGGTTGGATGGAACCCGATGCCTTTTGGTTTGAAACCCTTTCTCATGAAAACGGCCCACATCTACTAAACGTCTGTACTCGGGATTTCAGTTCAGAGTCTTCATAGCCTTCCATGGTCGGAGTCCCTATGGCCACCTGTCGTCTTCTCCAGTGCTAAACATGTTGCTACCGGACTTGCGGTTCAGCTGGGAGCGTAGTGGCCTGTCAAGAGCACGCCAGGCTGAAACCCCTGTTGTGAATGGCGATGCAGAAGTCTTTCACTAGAAGGGCGCTGCAGAAGAAACACGCTATTCCTCACAGTCGCTGGGAGATACACATTCCCAAGGCATTCTTTGCGATGGACGTCTCGCGACAAGCAGGGGCTGTGGCGCATCCCGCGTTTGTAGGCTCGGCGACGTGAATGGTGTCGGGGACTCCTTTCATGAACACGGCAGGATGCTGGAGTGTGTGCGGGAACGGGAGGCGACGGCTCCGGTCGAGAACCGATACAGCCAGCGGTCCAAGTCCGAGTGGCGCATGTCCTGGCGAGCTCACGTCCTGGAGATGTCTGAGCAACAACGTAGGAACCCCATTGGTGTCTTGCGCTGGGCACGCGCCGAGCACCAGGATGCTGGCTTCTTTCATGCCACCGACGTACAGCTCGGGACACAAGCCCAAAACCATGACTAGTAAGTTTACGGACTCTCTAGTCACGAGCCTGGAGTTGTGTCCCGAGCTGTACGTCAACAGGGCTCTGGAGGCTGAACATCAAGCCCTACACCGTGAAGCAACTAAATTTGCACCAAAATCTGGCAGTTTTGGTGACATTCTACTGGAGTGGTGGAAGTGTCTGCTGCAAAATGTCAAGGGCGAAAGGCCCTAGACTCTAGCCGCTAGCCCAAACGGCTACGGCATGGCCTTCTTGCTCTGCACATGTGGACAGACGCGGACGGACAGACAGCCAGCCAGCCACCCAGCCAAGCAGACAAACGGATAGACGGACAGACCGACAGGCAGACAGACAGACAGACAGACCGACAGACGGGCCGGCTTCGCACATGCATGTATGCATGCATGCACGTTACATACATACAAGGAAAGCAAGCTTCCAGTTCAAAGAAGCGAAAACTCCGGCGCTGATACATGGCATGGACAATCAAGCTGGACGGAGGCCTGGGGGCTGTAACATCTTCTTTCGCCAGAGACCTTCAGCTTGAGTCGGAGAGGGGCTAGCTGAGCTGGAGCCCACTAAGACATCTAGGACAGGCGATGTACAGTCGGGAACTTGCCATGGAGCTGTACTCCGAAGCTGCATGGTAGTAGTAAGTAAGGTCAGAAGCCAGGACCATACCCCTCCGGGTAGGGCGGGTAGGGGTCTCTGCTGCAAGCGCGGATCTAAGCCTTCCGCACTAATTAAGCTCAGCCCTAAAGCCTCAAGCCAGAAGACCCTGTCCCCACATCTCCCAGGTGCAACCCCCAAAGCAAAGCGCCGACACCTCCTGGCCCTTGCTTGGCAGCCAAGGTACGATCGTGTATCTGCAAGGGCTGGAACTCCCTCTCACCACTTGCCTGACCTCATCAAAAACAGGTTCAAACAGAAACAGACACGACTGCGGAAGGTCAGTCCCAAGAATCAACCCCAGTTGGGGCAAGTAGCAAAGAAAGTGCATGCGTTGCATTTTCAGGTGTATGCATACATGTATGTATGCAGGCATGTGTGCAGATATGCGTGTGTGCACGTATGCACGTGAGCTTCATCCCGTTCTTTTTCATTTCTTGCCGTTGCCATGCAGCTCTGGTGCTGGCAATTTTTGCGACCTCCTCGAACCCTACGGATGCGGAGCATGCATTCCAAAACCTTCTTCAGTTGGTCTGCGGATGTTTGAACTTCTTCGCCTGCCAGATGACCCCGCCAAAGCTGCAACCCCTGCCGTAGACAAACTCGTGAAGCACCACGGAATCTTGTCTCAACGCTTCAGCATCTGAGTCGCCGCAGGTTGGACGTAGCGGTGGCACGGGGACGTCAGACAGCCCTGGCCGAGATTTTCGGTGGAAGCACAGACGCCTGTTTGTAGAGGGTCAGATTCAAGTTTTTCGGCTGATCAGCTTGCACGTGCAACAGACAGATTGGCTCGCGAGTGCTTGCCACAAGTCTGACATCAGCACGTAGAACATGGCTTTTCAAAAACGCAGAACAAGAGGCACAAAACAGACAAGGAACAGTGAGCCTCTGCATCTGGGGCCAGTTCGTCGGAAGCAGCTTCTATGTTGGACCGGCCCGTGCTTACAGATAAAGGAATCGATGAATACAACACCAAAAGCAAAGGTGAAGAAGTACGCCACAAGCAAGAGCTCAACACTGCGGTTCGCCTCAACTGCCGTGGCCAACATCGGCGTTTGCAACACAGGGCTCCCTACCGACGAGGAAGCTGCCAAGCCTGGCAAGCAAGGTTCTGGATCTCGGGCCCACAGCTTGGATCTCGGGCTCGCAAGCAATCGAAATGCATGGGTCTGGCGGATAGATTGACTTGACGCTGCTGCCAACAATATGCGCTGGCACTTCATCCATGCTTGGGCATGAAATCCCCAAGTTGTAGGTCTGCATGACGGAAAAACAGACTGCTGCTCTCGATCATGTATGAAGCTCTGCTGCATATCCTCAATGCCTGCAAGCCTCAATTCCCGCAGTACAGTACAGCAAGGCTGTCGGGAGTATTGGGGGTCAACAGTCATCATGAATTGTCGTGCACTGCATTTAAAATTACGATGAAACAGGTTTCAGCATGCGCAACTCCCACAATGCTGCGCTCGCACAAACCCATGCGGCTCCTGACGAGCAGCCGGCCGTCGCAGTGCGGGGCGAGAAGGATCGACCTCCGGTTTGCAGTTTGCGGCTGCAGTTTGTGCAACATCTACAAGTACGAGTCTAGGACTAGGACCCAAACCACTCCCAGGCTGGGCTGCAAGCTTCTTTGAGCACTTGGAGTGCAAATCACCACCCGCTCGGGCAGGATGCCCGTGAAGTCTTGAGGCGAGGCCTTGGAGACACCCCCGTGCTGCACAACGCTCGTGAGCACGTACATGCGCGCATATGCCTGCGGGTACGTCTGTGTCTGTGTGTGTGTGGTGTGTGTGGTGTATGTGTCTCTGAGTCTCTGAGTGTCTGTGACTGTCGACTGTCTGTGGCTCTGCAGGTGTTTGTGGAGTCCTCTGTTTCGGAAATCGAAAATGCCTAAACTCTGAACTTAGCTCAAAGGACAGAGCTCCTTCAATCCCGCAGGTGAAACTATAGTAAGTAAGGGCAGGGCCAGAAATCTTGAAATCCTAACCGCCCGCAATTCTGGCCAAGTGCCGACCCCACGCGGAGACGGACGTCTGCTGCCCAGCCCGGTGATCCCATGGCTACACGGCAGCCCAGACTTCGCACATGTAGGCAATGTAGGGATGCAGGCTTCGCTTCTTGATGCTCTGCCAGGGTCACAACTTGCGGACGTGCGGGCTCCTGTCAGGAGTCAGAGCAGCTTCGAGCTGCACAGAAAGAGGCTCCCAGATCATGAAAAGCTCGAAGGATCTTGGATTTAGCAGCTGCACGATGGCTTAGGTAGCTGCGGGATTTGGAAGAAAGGTGACGGCCCTGCCCGGTCCGGTTGTTAGCAGAAGAAATTGCTTGTCTGATCTGGTGAATGGTAATGGGTTTGGGGCCACTGGGTTAAGGGTTTGGGTATTGTGTTGGATTCAGGCAGATCTTTTCGCCTCCAGCTTGAGCCAAGAGCCCTGAAATTCGGGGAAGAACTGCGCGTCTCACGAACGCCGATTCACTCTTGATGGCTGATTCGGGACCCGGACATATCATTCACGTAGTCACATGTTCAACAAATCAAAGTGTCGGAACCTCCTGAAACCCACAGAGCTCAGCCTCAAATCAGTCAAGGACAGACAGACAGGCAGGCAGACAGACAGTCCGACAGGGGCACGCACACACACACACAGACGCAGAGGGTACGGAAACAGATAGCAGATAGATAGATGGATAGATAGACTGTAGCGCTCGAGCTCGAACGATGCATAGATGGTAGAGATGGCCTTTTGGCTACCACCTGTTACCACCTTCGGCGTCGTCGTTGGAAATTGCCACTTTGCAAGTTGGAAGTTTTACATGACACAGGTTGGCTTATGTCCGGTACATCTGAAACCAAAGGAGGCTTCAACAGAGGATCCCAAGATTGCCTTTATCTACCGGTGAAGCCGTTCTAGTCGGCCGAAGAAGAGGCCACCAAACCTCTGATGCAACATACCAGCATATTCACCGCGTGACAGTCGAAGCAATCTTCTCCACAGAGCCGGAATGGCGGGTGCAACCGGACGTGTTCAGGAAACATGCATGAAGCCGTCGAGTTTGTAGTCTCGAAGCTTAGATTACACGGGCAGTTAGCATGAGTGCAAAGCAGTCTTCTCCCTTAGTTCTCCCTCACGTCATGCAAGGACCGAGCCAGGTCTGGAATTCAACCCCTGTAGGGATGAAAAAGACAATGACAATGCGCCAACGTGCCATAGCTTGCAGCTATGTCGAGAATCGGCGCGGCGCCTCAGAACTGCTCTCCTCGTGTCACCTGCATTGCAATGAACGTTGAGATATACCAAACTACCTACCTACATAAATGCATAAAACAAGAAACAGATCTGCACATGTATTAGTAAGCATACTGTGCTTTGTTGTGCTGCACATGAAACTGAGTGAAACTGTGTCCAATGATCATATGGCATAATTACATGCTACAATCATACTCTCCTATGCTATACCACTAGATTATACTAGATTTGTCTACACGCTTCCGCACTATACTATGCTATGCTCTGCATGCTACACTACACATTCCTATGAACCAATACCAGCAGCTTGTGCTGTCCAATGTTGAAACCCAATATCTTGTATTTACGTATGTGTTTTTGGCATGCTGTACTGCATTCGACTAAAACGAATGATATGATACGGTATGATATGAGACCACTTATAAGATGAGATGTTGCATGGCGTGATATGGTATTATACTGTACTCTGTTGTACCAAATGAATTTGCATTAGGCTGTCTATTGCACTCTATTCTAGTCAAATTCTGCTTTATATTACCTTGAGCCAGCACGTCCATGCCATATGGCTACACCTAATATCACCTAATCACGAAACTGACTCAGTGAAGGTCCCAATACGAAAGGTGCCCCATGCTCATGATCCCTTTTGAGGAAAGACTTTTCGCCTGGCCTGTTCGCCGCAGTCGGTGGTTGTATGCGAGTGAAAGTTTTGCTCGTTAAATTTCGTAAGCACGTGCTTTCCGTACACAGCCCAGCTTTTTACAACCACCACTGGTTCGTTGCCTACCATTACAGCTAGCCGCGACTGCTTCTAGCAGTAATCACTTGGGAGACTTTAATTGCAATCAATGGCACAGTGACAGAACGACGCGGTAACTTGCTAGCATGCAGACGACTTCGCATGATGCTCTGTTGCTTGTCACTGCGCGCGGTGCGTCTTGCTGAGTGCATTCCCTGCATGGCTCTCCCATCAAGTCTCCTAGCTGCCAGCACAAGTCCTCAACCAAGGGCAGCTATGGCATTTCAACAGGTCGAAGGTGGTCGAAGGCTGGAGGACAATGTTTCAATGTCGCTTTAGGCTTTACCTGACAGGTCGAGACTAGACTCCGATGTTTTGCTGCAGCAACTCCAATGAAGCTGAGACCATGCTCGACCAGAATGTCTTGGGAAAATCTGCGCACCGATCCGAAGTGGAGGTATGGCTTCGCAGGCTTCAGCAACCCAACCATGTCATATCTGGGATGACTTCGAGTAAACAGCTAACTTCTAAGATACATCTGAATGCAAAGGGACAGGTGTCTGGGTGAAGCTGCAGGTATGGATTCTGCTGTGAGGCCATGTACTCAACGTACCCCCCCACTTCACATGGCACCCCCTTGTGGGGTGTGGGCTCCCGAAGTGGTGACACAAAGGCTCTGGGACGCCAAAGCTCAGGGCTCCAAGCCCCGAGAGCCGAAGCCTTCGGTCGTTTCTCGAAATTTCGGAGTCAGGTTCTCGTCTCCTTCCGTCTCACGGGAGATATAGACCCTAAACCCTAAACCGTGATATAGACTCGGGCTGCAGTCCGTGGCAACATCCGTTCTGCTGGATTCAACATTGGATCTGGTGATCAACATATACGCCGAGTTTACTACTTTCGACACCACTGACTAGGCGTGAAGGAGGCGTCGGAAGGCCTATAGAAGCTCAGATGCTGCGCTAACTTATAAGGCCTTAAACTGTAGACCAAACTTTTGCATGCGTAAATACAATATACTTCTGAAGATATATGTATATGTGCATGTGTGTTTATATCTACTGGCTGATCTAGCTATTCATTTGATAGCTATTGATAATTCAAAAAACGCTTTTTTGCACGCGTGTATATATACATACATACCTACCTACCTACATACATTATCTGGCTTAATTACGTGTTTGTTTACAGTAACACTGCTTCGTTCATCATTGATTTATGTGTACGTGTGTATATATAAACATAACAATATACATACATATACACATATGTTATCCTACCAGTAAGACGCGAGTACTGACACTAGCCGTCCCAATGTTTCGGGCCACCATGTTACCGACCTGCGCTTTGCATGCGAAGCTCAGGCTCGCAGGTTCTAGCTTTGGAACCGCCCCAGCCCCAGACTTGCACACTGCTGACTTTACAGCAAATTCGGATCTGAAGAGGGTACATATTCCGCGGAACCTCCCAAGAAACTTGTAGATCCTGAACTCTTCTGTATTATATATAAGGGCTCCGGACTGGACCAGCCGCACACAGTGAAAGAACAACCTAAACCCACCCTTTCCAAGCGCCACTACACCTCCTCCTCGTTTAGATTCTTCGACTGGGCTACCTCTACTGTAGACTGTAGCTGATCACCCTGATAATGCTTCTGGTGACAAGGATGGTAGCAAGTAGTGAGGCTGATGGCGACGGTGCCGCCCATGGCGACGAGTCAGCTATGATTCATCAACAGCACAAATCAAAGGGGCGCCCTCCCCTCAGCAACTCTATGTAGGACACCTGCACTGACTGGCGAAGTCCTGAGTAATGTAGCCATGGGTAGTTATAGGAATTTCGATGAGCTCGTTGTCCAGAGGAGGTGAACGGCAAATAATACGGAGACCGAAGGAATAGTATCGTGGTATTGATTACTCCGACAGCTGGATGTCCCTCTCTTCACTTCGCTGGAGCCACCTCAGCGCGACCTGGCCTTCGCCTTTGGCTTGGCTTTCCTGAGTGTCTCGAATTTCTCACCCTTTGCAAGAATTATTGGGGATACAAAACTACATTACTACTCATAGCATTATAAGGACAACGAGGGATGTGCAAGGTCCTGAAGTTTGGCTTTGTGCAAACAATCTCGGAGCTGCAGGTTCAGGGTGTCAAGCTTTGGGGTTAATTCCTCTTCATCGCATGCGGAATCTCCATGTAGTCAGGCCCTCGGATCTTCACACAGTATAACCCAAAACCATTCTAAGGATGTAGGCCCCCACATTATTTCGCGGCCGTTGGAAAAGAGACCGAGCTGCTGGAGGTGCTTCACGAGATTGCCCGTGCGGGGGTCCACAAAGTTGTGTGCATTTTGCGTGCATCCGCCTGGGAAATGAGCTGTGTATTAGGGCTCTACAAGCGTTTTATACGGGCTCCTTAAGTGCTTTGTGGCAGTTGTAAGTAAGTTCGCTGAGGCCTTTCCGGTGACATCGTGCTCTGAGAATTCTGCGGTATATTGCGGGATGTTCTGCGTTCGGGTGCGTATAAGAGGATGCACAAGGAAACCTCAGCGTGTGCTGATGGTGCAGTATAAGACGATGCACAAGGAAACCTCAGCGTGTGCTGATGGTGCAGGTCGAGGCGCAAGTGTAGGTTTCGGTAAGTACGGCGCCACAGCCGAAGCAGAACCTTTGCAAAAGCACAATAGTCTTATAGAGCACTAAACTATCGCATCTTATCCTGTCTGATGTATTATGGTGCGCTTACTGACAGCTGACGCCGGCAGTTTGACCCAGACCTTATAGAGGACGTGAAAACCGAAGAAGACAGGAGCACGTGTGATTGAAAACATAAGGTTCAAGAACTTGGAGGGAAGTGTACTCTGACATCACCACGCCAGGATTCACGATTCAACACTCTGCTGCTGCTTCTGCGGCTCGATCTACGGATCTACGGTGCCTGGATCGACTTAGAGGTCTGCCGAAAGCCATGAGAACTCGAATGGAAATGAATGGAACCCAAGACAGCTGCCCGACAATTTCCCAAATAGTTCGCTACTCGTAGCTATTGAATTTACAACAATACTCAAGCTTTGCAGCATGACTCATTGAATATGAGCATGATAGCGCAAAAGCCGGCAAGGAGCCGTCCAAAACTACGGTATGCGGCATGAGAAACATGAGATTCACGCTAGTCTTGATGGCTACCCACGTTCTGCACAAAGCCCTCCAAACTGGCACCCTTGTTACATGAGGGCACGTACTGTACCTCTTTATCATGCAAGGCGCCCGTTTGGAGGTTCGTTGAGGTGCGGAGCCATCAAGGAGTGCCACAGACTGTTTCATAATTGGTCATACCTTGTGCAGTTACGTGAAAACGCATACCCACCTACGGATGGTAGATACTGTAAGGACAGTCTATAGATCTTAGAGTCTTAGATGACACACTGGTAGAGGCCTCCAAGGCGCTCCGACGATCACACATATAGTTCTCGATATTTCTCGTAATTGTAACAGGTTTGGGGTTTAGGGTTTAGGGTTTAAGGTTTAGGATTTAGGGCCCAAAAAAGCCCTTCAAAGGGCCGGTCAAGCATCCGAAGCGCTCCACGCTGCGCGATTGAATCGTGGCCCGAAGCCAGGTACAGTGTACAGGTGTCCGGCCCGAAAGGCAAATGTTCTGCTAGGTTGGCTCCTTGCTGGTAGAACAGGATTTATCAACTCCCTCCAACAGCTCCGACAAGGGACTTGCATCCACAGTTGCGGCACATCATCTTGTGGCACTCTTCCACCTGGTCCTGCGAGGAATGGTCCCTGCGTGTAGCAGGCATGAAACATGGAGCCTGTCTCAGCTTGCAGAGCTGCTGCTGTTGCGTTGCAAGAATATTCGCACGAGTGTGATTACACGAAACACCCAAACACGGCTCCGTCTGGGCATCCAGATTTTCCTTGGATGTCGCCATTCCGCCTCGGGGATAATGCCGTGCCGCTACATCGGGATTCGCCGCATGACAGACCCGGCGCCAAGCACTGTCCCTACTCTATCAAGGAATCTCGAATCCGTCACTGAGAGACATAATGCACCGGTCCCGCCCGTCTGAACTGCAGGCATGCTGCACTGGGGGCACTGTCTCGTTCCTGTCTCTTTCATCCACTCCATGAAACCTGAGAACCGACGCTCTACGTTTTTTGTACCCTGACATGACTAACGCCTGCAAGGAAAGAATACAGACTGAACAAAACGAGGACAGAACCTTCGAACCCTCTGGTGGGACCGCACTAGACCGACCTTGCCAGCAGCATCCATACCCTGTAAGACAATGTAATGAGCTTCCCCTGTCCAGTCATGCAACAGCCAGACTGCAGACAGAATAATTAAAGCCTGAGCTCTGGCTGTCGAGCTAGAAACCAGAGTGACTAGAGGCCGCAAATCGAATACCGGAACCACACCGAGCGGCTCTCGTCGGCGCCCTTTCCCCGCTGTCGCTTCCGGTATTCCTCGCACGTCAGTCCTGGCCCACATGCAGTTCTTGGAGGACTCGGCTCGGAAGTGAAGTGGGTAGGAATCACAATATATTTTTGCGACGATCGGATCACTGTGAGAACTAACCCCACCACCCCCCGGCCGCTACACCTTCGTGATACGGCTGCGCGCCGCACATCCAGCCTGCGACTTTGGGCTGTTCGCTCGGAGGACTTGGAGGGATCACTTCTTGCTGGCTCTTGGGTGTACACCGGGGTCGGAACCGGTTAGAAGTGTAGATACAGATGATCGTGCTGAATGGTCGACGCACATTGACTTTTACAAATGACGCATAAGCTTTGAGCCACGCTTCAAGCAAACAGTGCGGCCATGCGCTGCCCAACTTACACAAGCCCGACCCACAACAGCACCTGCAGTCTGGAGTCTAGATTTTAAGCCAGTTAAGCTGAAGCCAAATCGTATCGAAGGAAGAGCGGGATCGTGAGATTTCCTCATGGGGCCCTCCGCTCTCAAACCCCTGACCTATGAACTCCGAGTGGCATGCTTCAAGCCCGCAAAGTGGGCAGGTGCCCCTCGCCGATGTAGAATCAGGAAAGGCTTTCTTCATCGCGCAGTCGGGAGTTGGACCTGAAGGCACAGGAGCATCGAGGACCCATGAGGTCGCCACGCCCCAACATCGCCGAGATTCAAGCCATGCCGGCCATGCACTGAGCATGTCATGCAAAATTCATGCAAACTGATCCATAGTTGAGCGGAGCCCTCCATCTAGGAGCCCGGCAGGGTCTCACAACATTGCCGGATGCCGCCGCACGGCGCAGAATGTTGGAGGCATGCAGTCGAAAGACTGTCTTCTTCGGAAGCAGTCCTCGGATCTGAGACAACAGAGGCAACTAGCTGTGGGAGGCTCAGAGCAGGCAGGTGTGGGACCAAAGGTTGGAAGGTTGGGATGTTACTGAAACTTTGAGGTGGCTTTGCGTCTGCGAGCAGTAGGTGTCGTGGCACGCCGCTACTTTGCCATTGCGGCTGCTCCGTCAAGGCGGGTGACGCATCGAGGTGCCCCGGGGCTCGGAAATACCCTGCAAAGCTGGTCAACAGGAGGCACGTGCCCGGAAACCGCATCACGAACCAGTGAAGCAAAAATGAATTCACAAAATCTCCAAGCCCAGACTTTGCAGGAAAACAATCCTACACCGTCCTTGCGTTACCTCTTTAACACCGGGTGTCGCAGGAGGTCTTCCTCGGAGATGGCCTTCGCACAATCCGGGCAGGGGATATCCCCCGAGATGCCAGACTCCAGCCTTGCCTCCCAGGAAGTCGGTGTCTGTTGCAATATGAATGTATAGGGATGTAAGCGGGTACTAAGACTAGTACTCCGGGAAGCGTACTCCTAATAGGGGATGTGAAGGGATATGCTAGCCTACTGCGAAGGATGAGATGCGAGGCGGATCCGCACCTGATTTCCTGGAGCAAGAAGTAGCACTAACTAACTAACCAACTAACTAACTAACTAACACTTCGAGACGAGAGACACATCTACACCTGGCTCGCCCATGCAATGGCTAGCCGATGCAATAGCTAGCTGTATGAACATCTACCTTAAAGTGAAAAACTATATGCTCTGCCTGCCATACTTCCATGAATACTGTTCTCAAGGTGCTGTCTGCGCCTGTGACTAGCTTTGTCACTCGGCGGTCATGGCAGTAGAGTAGCTTCGGGCGAAGCTGGCTTCATGAGCACTTCTACTGCATTTGCAGCTTCCGAGGCGACTCAGGTTCAGTGGCTTGACCGGGACTCGACAATAGAAAACACTGAAAGCACTATACTACATGTTTGCACGGCCCATGCCCCCAAAGCCCCACAGCCCCCACCCAAGCCCTAACAAACGCTACAACAACATTAGTTCGCCTTCATTCCTGCATGGCTCGGCTCGATGACTAAGCTACCAAGATGACGATTCTTCGGTTGGAATCTCCCCAAACGACCGACGCGCAACAAGTTCGGGCCGAGACCTCTCAGCAGATGAACATCAAAAGAACATCTTCGGATCAGCCTCCACGAAGTGGTTGATGCAGGATGGACAGTACCAGCCATGGCCACAGCCCAGCATGACCTCTGCAAGCTGGTGCGCATAGCATGTCCGGCACGGAAGACTTCTTTGAAAGCAAGAAGAACAGATGTGAACAAGGTTCCCAAAACATCCCAAAACTCGCCATGATCATGAAGACATGGATAGGTTGATTTCGACTGTCAGGAACCTGCTTGTAAAGTAAGTAAAACAAGTGAACACGAAGTGATTACAACAACCGGGCCCTTTAACTGTTTCTGAACCGTTCCGCCTGAGCGTAAGGAATCCCTACGCCGACAGAACACTGCCTGAAGACATCGGTGAAAAAACTCTTCATATGCAGTCTCATCGCTGTTCTCTCCCAGGTTGTTGACATCCCTTGTTCTGTGTACTCTCGGCGCATCTCGGGTTTCAAGTTTACGCCCCATCATGCCCCATCCTTGAAGCATCCAAGTGGCGGCTGCATCGACCTTGCGTTCATCGCAGCATATGAGGCAGGATTCCTCACGCTGCTCTTAGGGTGTGCGCTCAAACACGCACAGCTAGGGCTTGGGGCGCAAAGCGAGCGAACTTGATAGAGTTTAAGCCGTTTAGGATATCTATTCTTAGTGTTTCATACAAGGTCAACGGGCTTGATGCTGGATGACTTACGACGGCTCATTCTGGTTGGAGGCACTGTAAAAAGGCAATCATGATTTCATCTCACCTGCCGAGCTCCGAGAAGTGGAAACACTCGGTGCACCCCATACGTCCTAAGCACACATCTAAGCATCGACCTAGAACCGACGATTTCGACCGCCGGAGAGGGGTAATCGTCCGGACAAGACACGCAAAATAAGCTTCGCTGTCGGCTTCGTGAAAACCAACACTGGGGCCAGCAATCTGGAGCTCAGGACAACTCCAACCACCAACAACAACAGGCCAAAACTTATCAACAGCCCCTAACATGACTACAACCTCGCACCCCACCAACCCACAAGTAAAGGACCCGAGCCCACACAACCAACCAGACTTTTTCTGGCACCAGGCAGCATGACCCAGCATGCAGTTCCAGCTCTGAGGCAACGCTTCTGCGTGAATGGCAAGAAGGGGCTGAAGTCCCTCTGGTATTGTTCCCAGTATGTAACCCCTCAAAACCTATGGTATGCCTTTGCCTAGCAGTCTTGACTAGACTGGGGCCCAGAGCCTTCTGTCATTCAAATCCGGGCCTCTCGGCCGTGGGGACATGATGCAGTGCCGAAGATTAGGCCCGCGCGAGAACGCGAGGCGGAAGAACCACGCGATTGCGTTATACACATTGGAGTATGCCATCGGGTGGTATCCTCCTCGGAAGGACGCCTCTCGAGACATCAGGAACATTGGCTGTGAAGGGAACTCCGGTTGCATGTAGGGCATGTTCTGGCTCACGGGCTGGACGATGCGCATCGTCACTCGAGGTGCTGCCTGGTGGACGGACCCGCTTGATGATCATGGCAGGATGTTGGACGGTGCCCGGACTGCGATGCAACGACTGCGGTCGACGAGAAGTGATGAGCCCGGCTTTGCCACCGTCACCACCGACTGTGCGATCGTTCCGGTGTAGCCAGTATAGCCTGTAGAGGGGATTGCACAGACGATTGTTGGTCTTCCTACGGTCTTTATAGGGTTCGTGCTGAATATTTGGCGGAAGCCTGCAATGCTGCGAGTGGTTGCATAGGTCCGGGAGAGCTCCTGTCCTGGACACGTCTGAACGTAACGCGAGCTCAAGGCTGCTGGCGCCACGGTCGTGGCCGATCTATCTGAATCTAGCTGGTGCTGCCTTGGGCATCTTCTCCGGAACGGAGTCTGCAGCCACATCGGGCTTTGGAGCTAACCAACATCGCCGTTGGTGTTCCTCGTTTGCCGGAAGCCAGAGAAGGCCTTCCTTGCCGCCGACGTAGAATTCGGGACACAAGTCCAGAACCATGAATAGCGATTTTTTCAGGCTCCTGGAGTCTGAACGTTCAACACAACACCGTGAAGCTGCAAGCCCTTCTGCACTTACGATCCGGAGAAAACAGCTGCGTTTGCATAGCCCTATTAGTCTGCAGAAGTTGCGCTGCCGACCTGTTGGCTCTAGATTTTGAGCCAACTTGCGGACCTGAGGAGTTTTGCAGAGAGCTTGGCCTTTGGATTTTCAGATGCTGACTTTCAGGACGAGGCCCGCCGTCAGGGTATAGCTCAGCCAATCTCAAAAGCTGGAACCTTAAACACTGCAAACTGTAAACGCTACTGAAGAGACACATCCAAACATTGAACCGAAACCGTCGCACGCCAGGGTTCGGCATCCGAGTTGAAACGAAGGATGCCCGCTCGGGTCATCTTCGCCTCGATGCTGCAGTGAGAGACATGGCGTTTCGGCTGACGCTGAGACAAGTCAAGTCTGAACGCTGTGGGTGCAGTCCGTCGCTCGCCGTGCTACTACTTCAAATCTGCGCGCTGAACAACTCTTCTTGACTTGCCCGGCTTACCATAACTCCAAAGCTTCACCCAACACGCCCAAAGCCTTGCAGCTCTGAAGACGCAAACTTCCTGGAATACCCAAATAAGGAAGCGCCCCTGCCTCGTGCTCTTCGAGGTCCTTTCGAGCCTTGCTGACCGCCTCGGCACCACAGACTTCCGTAGATTCGCAGTTCTCTGCACTTACACTTCAGCGACAGCTTGTCCAATCAACCGTGCATGACTCCAAACAAGCTCATGGAACAACAGCAACGAAACCCAAACAAGCGAATAAATTACGCATCATATTGTAGTATATGGTGCTGTAAACTGTAGATGGCTATTTTGTGCGTGTATGAATATATATATATATATATATATATATATATATATATTACATATACAATCAGGTATGCACACATACACATATAGTATACTACGGTACAAGATGCAAGCAAGCGCTCCTCCTCCGCTGCCTCGTGTGCGGCCTCCTTGGCCCTCCTTGCCGCCTCTGCCTGCTGCAGCTCCTGTGGCGGAATTCTGGTCAAAGAAGCATAGAGTGCCAAGTTGTCAAGAGTTTCTGCCCCTTTCCCTTCAGAATCACTGACCGCTGTTTTATGTAGAGCGATCGTCAACTTGCTGAGTACGAGTAGACCGCCACACTTATCACTTCAATATTTGGATTACGCACAACTTGACGGTCTGCTTAGCTTCAATCCAGGATAGTGGTCAAGAGCTTGCAGCAGGAGCTGCTGCCTGTCCAGTGTCTGCCACGGCCAAGAATTCACACCACGTCGAAGACCGTTCATCATGCATGTGCATGTCCAGACAGGAAGGGTGACCGATCGGTGGGAGCTTACGAGCCTAGCTGCTTAGCTGCGAGCCGTGGTTTGCCAGTCCTCTGCTCTGGAACGAGCATCACTGGCACAACGGTCGACGACCTGGTGGCACTGAGCCTACCATTCAATGCTGCCCTCGGCTTCGAGTCAAGTTCTCGCAGCAGGGAATTGTCTAATCCAGCCCCCGCGCAGCAAAAATGAGTCTGCGAGCCCGACCATCCACCGCAAGTCCCAAATCCCCGCAGCCCACCTTCTGACATTGCTGCACCTCACTCCGGCACGTCTCTGACAGACGTCGCCCTCGGATGCATGAGCCCGGCGGACTTGCTCTGGTCTTGGTAACTTGAGTTGACTGCTGAAGCACATGGCAAACCTTCCGAAGCTTCGGTGCCCCGATTTTCAAGTCCTCGAAGGCTTGGCTTCGAGCTCTCTCGCCATTCTGCAGTTCTTGGCATCCTTTTCACGGCAAACGAAGCTGCATAAGTTGCTTGCTGTCGATCGGACATTGTCTGCGCATCAACACACGGATCCTAGGTTGGGGGTGTGAAGGCGCCTGGAAGGGCGTTCCAGAACACCAGGTTCAGGGATGCTCGTGTTGGTGGGCTTTCCCGGATGTTCTTGGAAATGTTTTGTATTTGTTTTGTCGCTAAATCGTCGCGCTAGGCACGATGGCCAAGCCTGTATATTCAGACAGAGTCTGCCTCTTTGCTACGGCTCCGCTGAGGTCCCAGCTTCCTTTGAGCTGTGCGGCCAGTGTCTCCTGTCAAGCAGAGTCTGCATCTCGGGATTACCCTTCAATCATGAATTTCAGAGCCACGCCAGAACCGCGAACAGACCCACAAGATTAAGTGATTAAGTGGTTTGCAACATCTGCTCCTGGATCAAGGTGAGGATCTTCTTGTCCTTGGCCGTGCGCTTGGCCTTCTTCTTGACCATGATTTCAGGTAACCTCAGTTTTCCAGAGGCTCCTCGAACCTAGGATGGTTTGGACTAGAGACTTGCGACCCTCAAACCTGAAATTGCCATACTCGAAACTGGGCAGACACAAATGGGAAGCCATGTCATGGCAAGCACCAGGCTATCAGTCGCATGATCATAACATCAGCTACGTTCTCACGGCTGGTACTGTTGCAAGTAGTGGTGCATGGTACTGCCGCTGACAAGTGTCAGTTGTGGCTGAGCAGTGTTTATCGCTAGCACGCTCTGCTGCCTCATCCTGCACGGGGTCTGTGGGCCCTTGGGGCTTAAGGACGGATACGGCTGAAATTATACCGGCACATTACAGCATCGGACCTCTAAGGAAATCTTGCAATCGGACCTGACCCTGAGCTTTGTTCCGAGTGGCCCCTGGAGCTGTGCCTCGTCAAGTCCATACGGTTTCAAAGAGGTCCTCAGGGCCTCTCTGCGACTTTCGAGAGTTGTCAAGAGCGTAAAGGCCTGCAGTGTTGATCTGTTTTGGAGGTTCGGTTTTCTTGCTTCCGACGATTTTCCGATCGACAGCACAGCGTGCGAACATGCTCTCTCACATTCGGCCTAGAGTCTAGAGCTCGTGCACCTAAACAGCGCATTGTGCTTCTAATGAGCTAGGGAAACAGACACGCGGCCAGCGCAAACACCGATAACACGCATGCCCCCTTTCCCCCACCCCCATCGACACCCCGAAACTGCCTTGATCTTGGTCTTGGCCTTGTCCGACGGATTTTCGAAAAGCTCCTCGTTTGGTGTGGATACCAAACTTGGACGGAGGACCCTTCACCAGCGTATGATCACTCGCGGGCCATCATGAACCTCTCGCTGCTCGCCGTTTACTGTTAAACAGCGCGCGACAACTACAGTATGACCACGATAATGCAACAATACCTTGCGGCTCCTCGAAGCTCTGCTTCACTCGCTGAACTTTGCCGACTTCTTCGTCCTTACTCGGTTACTCGGCACAGAGCTAGGATCGTTCGCGACGGCTGCTAGACTTTTACAAACAACTAACCAAAAGAACCGGACAGCGAAATGCTGCTAAAACATCATCAAGCAAGAACCCACAAACGTTCAGCGAAAGCGTTTGCTTCCACCCATAGAGTCAGACAGACCAGGTTTCCAGTTAAGATAACGAAGGCAAATGCCGATTCCCCAGGTCCAGCCTGTGCAACCGCTCAGCAGCCTGCACTGCGAGCACACCCTTCCCAGGCTGCATCGCCCATCTATGCCCTCGAACGTGGCGGAGACAAGTAATGGATTCGACGCCAAAAGGTGGGAAAGGGTTTCTCCACTTCTTCCGGGGGAAGTAGTTTGTCCTCAAGCCGTAAGCTGCCTAAACCCAACGACGGCATCCTTATCCTTCATTCTCTCAGCTTAAAGGTTGCGAGGTTGCGAGCCAGGCTGCGCAAGCCTTCAAGGCATCCTGGGCCTTCGCGACGGCCTCTTCTGCCTGGCTGTAGACATCGTCATGGTGTCGAGTAAGGATGAGGGTGACAGAGATTGCCCAACACTCGTGCCCTTCAGAGCATCCTTCACTGACGACCCATGCGCCTTCTGAGTCACAGGCTGTGCAGCCTGGGCCCTGCTCTCCATCTGCACGACGAATGCTTTATGCGCCTGCAGGGGTCCATGCTTGGTTTCTTCACCGAGAACATACTTCCAGCATTGCAAGATTCCCAGAAACGAAAGAACACACCAACGCAACCATCTTGGACGCCGGAGCTCCAGCACTGGCTGGCGGACATTCTCACTATGTATATTTATATGTATGCAATGGATAGAACTGCCGCATTTCACGGGGGCCTCCACAGCTTCCGCCTCTTCCGCCTTTTTTCGAACCAGTGCCGCCGAAGCGTCTGCCAGTGCCCTCCGCAGCTCGTGCTGCTGGGCCTCCCGGACTCTTTGAGCAGCGTAATGTAGGGGCCTTATAAATTAGAATAGGGTTTTGGGGTATATTATACTGTAGTTATAATAAGGAACCCCAAAATAGTATATGTCATTCATAACTAAGGCCCCTAGACTATTGATTGCTCTTGCCTGCTCTTGCTGGTTCGTCATGGGTACAGAATCCAGAATCGGAGCTGAGGCCTCGCCCCTCCAGCATTGAGGGCAACGGATCACACGCTGGGGTCGTTTGTTCGTGGCCCCGCACAGCAGGCGATGTCAGTTTTCGATGTGGGCCTTACCGGTTTCACAGCGGACAAGGTCGTGCTTTCGAATTCGGAAGCCGAACGCTGGGACTGATCGGCTGTTCAATCCAACAGCAAGGATAGTACTGAACAAAGCATCATCAGCTTTGCAGGGCACCCGTCGGCACACCTCCGCGGTCTCGGCCGGGAACGTGTTCTCCACACGGAACTGGCCACCTTCTACAACCTGAAACCCCATGCTGGCTTGGACTCATCGAACTCTGCTTCAGTACCTGCTGAGATTACAGAGCTCTTTGCAAAACACAATTGTACCGCCGTGGAACGAGAACGACTGTGCTGGAAGAGGTCGAGGTAGCTGCGTTGGCGACCTTCATCACAGGAGGCGGCTTGATGATACTCACATTCTTCGCATTTTTCT